CGTGACGATTAAGTAAACAGATGAAGGTAGCATTCCGGACTTCTCTTTGATGAGACATTTGGTTGCAATTGGGAAGCCTAACCTAGAACGTTTACCTCCTTTTACAAACACCTGACGTGAAAGCCCATGGCATGGCGCATTCGGCATGATGTTATGCCAATTGGCGCCTATGGCCTTATTACCTGATATTGCTTGACGAAAACGTGTTTTCAAAACATACCGAAGAGAGTCTTCGAGGCTAACTGGAGGTTTTCGCTGACCTCGGAGAGCGTTGAATTTTTCGGTGTCGTGGGGTGATTAGCAAAATATCGAATCAAACGGGGGAAATTTTCGAATAGTAGGGTCTAGGAAGAAGAAGTTAAAACCCATTGCTGGAAAGTAGAAAATCTTCAAGCACTCCGCAGGCAGTTTCTTTTTTTTACGAAAAGTCGTGTATGAAGCTTGCCATGGACGCTCAAGAGCGTAGCGAACTGCGCGGTTCGCAATAATGATCACAGATAGGATCTCAAAGAGATGATTCACAAACGGGGAAAATCTCTGAACGAAACTTTTTTTGAAAAATCGCTGCGATTCAGGTGATAACGAGCCAACTTAGCTCTACTCATTCCCACGTTACCCTCCTCCGAATAGCTTCACTTTCAACGAAGTTATGGATGTTCAAATGAGGGTACTTTTCACGTGTTTGGCTTAGAATTGCTCCATAACCATAAATAGCCGCGCTCGTGACGCAAGATGCGGCTTGTATGAGGCGCGCTGATCGCGGAACCAGTCTCAGTCCAACAATTCAAAAGTAATCCATAGTTCCGGTCCCCAGCGGAGCCTGAGTTCGTATCATTTTTGGTCTGTTTTGTTTGTAGGTCTTGATTTTGTTTTGTTGAGATGTTTGTTTGTTGTGAGGGAATGCTTGACCAGGATTCAATTTCACTACGGTTTCATAGTAGCTTTTGCAATGGATTCTTTTCGTAGATTTTGGCGGATTAGTGACGTGGGATTTACCTAGAGCCAGATGAGGAGGGTTGGTTGGGAGCGGAGTGTTCGTTAACCTTTTTTTGATAGAGAAGAGAATAAAAGTTTCAGCAATATTTTTTTTAGTTTTTGGCGCGTAGGAATAGTTCGTATGTGCGCTAGTTCTATTTATTTTGTCATCTTACACCTCCGTCCCTTTGAGCTTCTTTTCACTTGCACGCGGTGTATCACCGCTCTCTCCACTTCAACATGGGCCATGCGTTTACGACCCCCCCCCTCCATCGCGGGCAAATACGACCCCCCTGTTGTGATGATCACAAAGATGGCGTGCCCTGCTTCCGAGCAGAGGAAAGAGGGATACAGGTTTGTCACTTCCGAGCTCTGGATAGAGCATTCTTAGGGGTTCCGAGAAAAGTTACATATGTGGGGAGAGGCGGCGCAGTTCGACGCCGAGGGGGTTCCCACTTCTGCTATTTCGCATCGACGTGTCGAACTATCAAATACATAGAGATCTGTAAAATTTTGTGAAGCCAGACAAAACACTAGCCAAATTTGAAAGAGACCACCTGTCAGCTCTTGTGAACTCATGATGAAATCTACTTCATGGGCTCTTTCATAAGATTGCAAAAGTTAACAGGTCCCACCAGAGTGAACTAGTGGAACAACGAAGTGCAGAATGCCCCCCTATCTACGCCAAACTGCGCCAGAAGAAGCTTAGGTCTTTCCGCTCTTCGTGAAATATATCGTTAATGCTTTCCATGCAAAATAATTTACTGCAGAAATCACTATGAGTGGTGATTTTTACAAACCCATGCAGCTGCAAGACGGCAGACGATCGATAGCCACTCTTTTGGAGAAAGACCTCGTTGGCTGCCATTAGCTATTCGGAGCACGGAAAAAAAGTAAGTGGGAAATTTTATCGCTCAAATATATCGACATTGGGTAGCAATGACAATAAATCCTATATCAACAGTATTGAAATGGTAATATTTCAGGCTTTCGTTTTCTCATACCAATCGATAACTTTTTTAATGACGCAGGGGCTTGCTTGCAATATTTTTTGGAGTGCCAAAGTGAACCATAGCAATTACTTCGTTAGCATGAATGAAGGTAAACTCTGACAATCGATTGACCACATTTCTTCAACAAAAATAATGAGACGTTCAGGTGGCGCTGCTCACTGAAGGTTGGCTCGCTCTCAGGCGGAATACAGATCGGAATAGGTAAAATAGCGGTGCCTTTTCACAACCTTTACTTCAAACCCCTCAGATAAGGTAAGCTTGGCTGCGTTTTCAATGAAGCTGCGTTTATACTTTGCGGCAGCGCCCCTGGCATTTAGGGCATCCGGTAGCGTCAGCGATTGGGAAAGTGTAAATATCGATCTAGCGACTGCCACCGTCTGCCAGTGTCTTTAAGGCTGGGGAAGTATAGGTGTCGATCTAGCGTCTGCTAGCAATTACCAAGCCTCTAACCGCGTCCGGAAGAGGCGAGTATGGCGCGATAGGAGGTAGCAACCTGGTCCTCCTATCGCGATATATTCTCCACCAGCAGTCTGCCACCCTCCTAACTTCCCATACTCTGGCTGTCTGCTACCCTTCTATCGCGCCATACTCTGTACCATCTACCTACCTCCCTATACTCCACCAACTGTCTGCTGCCCTCCTATCTCGCCATGCTTTCTTCTCGCGGACGCTGGTAGATGCTAGTGCATGCTGGTAGACGCTAGATCAGTACCTAAACTTCCCTAGCCCTTGAGACGCTGGAAGAGGTTGGTAGACTCTGGCAGACGCTAGATCGACACCTTTGCTCCTCTAGCCCTTGAGACACTGTGGGACGCTCGAAACGCTGGTGGACGCTGCCGCAAAGTATGAACGCAATCTAAAAACGTGGGGCGGTCGCGCTTTTGGTGAGCTTTTCAGGGCAGAATAAATCAAACGCACGCACGAAAAGTACTGATTTCAGCTGTCTCAAATTCGACTACCTCACGACTAACCCATTCTACGCCTTGTTCAAATGGAGTACGCAGCAATGCCTACCGCGTCTCAAGATGTGGAGGTTACCTACACTCCTAACAAATTTTCCAAAATTTTGCTGTCAGAAATAGTAGTTCCGCAGCGCTATCAATTATTGGGGTAAGGGAGAGCGGTACAGAGAGCGCGCGAATCGGAAAAAAAAACAACAACAACAATATTTCCCTCGAAGTAAAATAGACCCTCTCCTCTCCGCCAGCGACCAAATTTGAGCCCTTAATGGGTTTCATGTAATGTTGTTGTAGCTCGCAACCAAGCCGTCTCACACTGGTCAAGCGTTTGTCAAGCAACCCTTTATGAAAGGGGTTGTATTCGGTCGCTGAGGGATGAGGTCTTAACCCATTCGTGACAATGTCCGCCCCTAGTGGTGGACACCGAAATGTCTACTTCGGACCATGTCCACCATATAAGGCGGACGGGCTTTTGATGAGATTTTTGGAAACAGCTTGAGTTCTTCGAGGAAGTTTTCGTAATGATACATGTCTTCATACCTTTGTTAATTTGTGCAGATAGTGGACCAACAAGATCTTCAGATAGGGGGGTCCCAGGCACAATTCAACTGGCAGCACCTGAGCCCAAAACCTCTCGAAAGATTTCTGCTGAAAATTTGCCGGTAGAGGTTATCAGTGCCCCGATCACAAATGAGAGGTCCATTTGGCGGTGTTTGACGCCATTTGACACCGTAATTGGCGCCACCCCTTTTTTCATCAAACCGGGCGCCAGAGTGATGCCCAACTCACCATTGCCTTTTTTCACCAAATTCAGAAAGAGTTACATACTAGGGCTTTTTTGTTGGTCTGGTTACGAATATGACGTTCACTACAAGTCCCAACTCCAACTGGCGCCATGGCCGCCAAATTGGTGCTATCACCTCTTCCACCCAAATTGATGGGAACTTGGATACCAGGGTTATTCGCTGTCCTTGATATTGATATGACATTCATTTCTGGCAGGAACGTTAGCGTAGGGCACAAGGATTATCGATGCGGTGCTGAGGCTGAGCTTGTCTTAGGAGGAGAGAATCACTCCTCCTCCAAGCTACAGCCTTTTCAGAGCGCTACGTGGCGCTCATGCCATGTAACGCTCTGCAAAGATAAAAACCAATGTCTTATTTGTGATCGGGCTTTCCCCCCCCCCCACTGAGCTCGAATGCAGAACAGCTGCGACTTTAGCGAAAAAAAGGCGACGGCGAGTGCAGT